GGGGGGGGGGGGGGGCATGTCACAGGGTCTGATTGATACAGCATGGTGCACATTGTGATGAGCTGGGAGTTTTTGGTGTGAATACAGTCTCCAGGAACATCCTTGAAGGGAGAGATCAAAAACCATTCCTCTCCAGAATGCTGGAGTAGTTTCCCAGAACTGCCATGTAGGCTGATCCATCTTGGGTTAGAGTAGTCCTTGGGTGTCACTGTATTACGTACAAGACCTGTATGTACCTGGGACTTGGGTCATTATAAGCAGAGCTCCCTCTCCAGTGAGAGTGTGTTTTGAACTGAACAGGCTTTTGGAAGTTAGCAAGTTTGTGCTGAAAATAATTAGCCACAGTTTTTGTTGTGTTTGTTTGTTAACTTGGGCTCCTAAATCCACTTGGCCTGGGCTTCTGCAAGACCAGGGACCTGCAACTCTTAACTTCCTTTTGCAAGTGCTCCTCAGTCTCTTTTAACAACAGATAATTTGACTGTAGATAGCCAGAGGGTCCCTCTGAAATGGGAAAACACCCTATGTCTATAAAGTGCGTCCGGGGAGAAGACTTTAAAAACTCCTTCTGCTCTGTCCTGGAGGGCTGCCACATGTGGCAGTTCTGTGCCACTTGGATAGGCTTTAAGGGTCAAAAATAAAACTAGTTGGAGCCTTTGTTTATCCCTATTAAACTGCAGGTTTCTGAACTGCTGGGTCTTAACTGCTCCTGGGGTATGTGTCCAGAAGATCAATTTCCATACTTGCTGCTTGTCCCTAGCTACACAAGTTCACTTAATGCCCCTGCCCCGGTACTCAGGGTTTAATTTGTCACTAGCAGAAGTGACTTCCTCATGAAGGAAGGAGTCCTGCCCACTCCTGGCTCCAAATACATGGGCACTTTCCTTCTTGAGTAGGGCAAGTCCAGCTGTATGTTGGTCTGTAACAACATCCCTGCTAACCTGACCCCCTTAATTATTTTTAAGTCTTTTGGGTATTGTGAGGGCTGCTCCTGCACTGGGTTTAGCACACAGTATCCCAGCCTGCTCTGGCTCTGGGCTCCCTGTGCATGGACTGTAACCAAGCCAGCCATCAATGGTTGATGTTTGTACAAGTTTTGCTCCTCGCTACAGCACTGAATAAATATTCTGCTTAGTCCTGTCTCTGCGGAGTGAGTCTGTCTGCAGCACACACTGGCTTTGTCTTACTATGGAAGCAGAGCCAGAATAGCAATGCTGACTCCACCTCATCGACACAGGACAGAGAGGCCATTTTTGGATACTGAAGGTAACTGAGCTAAACAGAAGTCACCACAAGAGGCTGCAGTTAGCTCTGGCTTCTCTGATATTTTACTCCTGTGACTAGAGTGAGAAGTCCTGAACTTTGATCTTGGCTCTGCTGCATGGGGAAGCAGTAGCTGGAAGGGCTTGAGCACAGGCTAGGAATCAGCTGTGCTTTGGTAGCAGCTGAGCCACAGTTATGGGGTTTTTTTGTTTTGTTTGTTTTTTTAATGTGGTCTTTGGGTAAGTCATGTTCCCATTTGCAAAGAGGGAGCCAGTAGCTGGGCATGTCTTCTGGGGCAGTTTCTTCTGAAAAGGACACAAGAGTGAGGGGCAGATGGGACAGCTGCCATATCTTAATTGCTGATATTGACTCTTCTCATCCCTCCCCACCCCACCCCACACACCTGAAACAAGATGCAGTTCAAGGCAGGGAAACTTCTGAGTGGCTGTGTCTTGACAAGTCCTCTCCATGCAGGCTCCACTAGGTGCTAGTGCAAGGCAACTGAGTAAGCCATGTAAGCATAAGTGGCCGGCCAGCCTCCCACAAGAGCAGTACAAGCCCTTAGTGCTGCTTGAGCACAGCAGATGTGCCTGGGCCATTTCTGCCCAGTCCTTTTCTAGCTGGTTCTGCATATTCTCCAATGTTACTGTGCAAATGCTTCTATGCGACACCGCAGACTGGTTTCCTTACTGTTTTTATTAATGGTCTCAGTTAGACAATGGGGTGGGGGAACCCGGTTCACAATAACAGTCAAGATATTTGCTGCAATCAAATGGGCTAAGAGAATCTTATTCCTTGTCACAAGTACTAGTGGTCTAGGAAAGCTGATAACCATTCATCTATTACCCTGCAGAGCTGAGATTCACTGAAAGGTGCCCAATTAGCTCCATAAAGCTAAATATATTGCTACAAATGCAAAACCACTCAAATTCCAGTGCTGTTGTCTAGGTGTAGAGTGCAGCATTAAACCAGCTAAACTAGGGTTACAGGGTGAGGCTCAGGAACAAGTCTGTATATGAGGACTTCAGGAGAGAGAGAATGCCCGGGCTCACAGGTGTGAAGAGTGATGTTCTGACTAACATAGGGGCACTTCTCAACATAGTGGGAAATGCTTGCTGTGGGCAGTGTTGCTGCTCCCCTGGAACATTTCTGTCTCCAATCAGTCTTTGAAGGCAGAGACCCTCTAACCTTCCTGGAATGAGCCAAGGTGATTTTTCTAGTCGAGGCACTCCCCATGCCCTGACTGTTACACCCGCAATGGGAACGTGGTTCTATGCTGCAATTGAAGGCAAATGCCAAAACTTAATCTACATTAAAAGCAGCCTCTACAGAAGAAGTTTGGCCTGAGTTCCTTCAAAAGACTGGGATTCTCCAAACTAGACACCTACATAGATAAGGCTGATTTTATATAATGTATATTCCTAACTTAGAGCACCCCAGCCCTTATGAAGGAACAACTCAGGCCAAGGTTCTGCTGTTTGTATAGATCTCTATTCGGCTCCCATTGCAGTCAGTAGGCGTTCAGCATTCACAACATCTAACCACTAGACCTGTGCAAAGCAGCAAGTATTCGCTTCAGATTCGGCCAATTTGGAGGACAGCGATTCGATCTGGAGATTCGAATCACTGTCCTGATTCAATTTGGCTGAATCAGATCCGAAAGATTTGGTGCTGCTTTGGAGATTCAGCCATAAACTACACAGGCGACCAACACGGCTGCCTCCAGCTGGTAAGTCTGTTGGGGGGGGGGGCAGGGACAAGCTGCCCAGCCAGAGTGGGGGGGCATAGGATGTGGGCGTGGCAGCACTGGAAGCAGGGCCTCTGCCCTGCTGCCACTTGCTCAGCTGATGTGGAGGGGGAGGGGAGTGTGATGCACAGCTCACTGTGGGCACCCCTGCTCACAGTGCTGCCATGCCCACCCATACCAGCTGGCAACCAGCAGCAGGGTATAGCGCTGATGCGGACACAGCAGTGGGGACCACGCTCTGCTGCCACTCTCCCCCTTCCACCCAGAGCGAGCTGCGCCTGCATCATGGCCTCCATGCTGGCTGAGCAAGCAGCAGCAAGGCAGAGTCCTTGCTCCCAGCGCTGCTGCACCCGCATCAGCACTAGGACCAGGGACTCTGCACTGTCATCACTTCCCAGCCAGTGTGGAAGGCAGGTCCTGCTGCTGCTTACCACCTGGCACGAAGCAGCACAGGATGTGGGCGCAGCAGCGTTGGGAGTGGGGGCTATGCCCTGCTGCTGCTTGCCTCCTGTGATGCTGCCTCCTGGAGCGAGCCATGCCCGCATCTTGCT